CAATCCAGGCATGTCTATATGTCTACGGACCAATCAGAGCTTCCAGGTGGTAGTGGTTAAATGGGTCCTCAAGGAAACTCTTGCAAAATAACAGTTCTGCGTCCAGATCCATATTAAACTTCCGTACCGTGTGTATTCTGCGTGGCAACGCGCGTGCCGAACCGTGATCCCATGTACCATGACGGTTCGGTACCAATACATATACCATGCCGGCCCTAGTGTGAATAGTTGTTTGTCCCGTTTGTCTCTGTGTTGCCCTTCGAGAGAATAGCGACTTGTCCAGGGTGTACCCCGCCTCTCGCCCGTAGACAGCTGGAGATAGGCACCAGCGCCCCTCGCGACCCCGCTTGGGATAAGCTTGATGAAAATGGATGGATGGAAGGTCATTAGAAAATGTGGTCCACTTCTCTGTCTTGATATGTAGCAAAAGTAATAAAAAGTAACTCGACCTAGTTGATTAGAAAAAACCCAGACTCACTGCTTTTTGAAAGCTTGATAAAAGTCAGACAGACTCACCATAATCCTTGGCCTCTTTCCTCCTGATGAGCATGGGGAGTTCATTTCTGGAGCAGATAATAGTGGCCAGAGGGAGGGCTGTGTAAGGAACCCCACACACAGAGTTAAACTGAAGTTTCTCCTCTTGCACTCGCTGGTAGATGAGGCTGGAAACCTGTGAGAAAAAGCAGAAAAAAAGGGTTTGGTTGCTTTTCACTGAAGCTTCATCTTCCAATTCCTTGATCTGCAAACATATGTCGGACTTCAGTTTTTAGCTTTAAAGAAAATGTAGCTGCTACCTCCCTCCGCAGGCAAAACGCAAACTATGTTGAAGTGCCGTTTATTGCACGTTTTGAGAACTATAACCTGAGAAGGAGGTAATATTTCACACACATTCAGCATTAGCTACAGCTACTTTGGTGGCCTGATCACACATTTCCATTATGTAGAGGAATAGTTCTTTAACGCAACTGAGATCTGTTTCCTAATGAAAGAGATTTAAATGTAGCTCTCAGAAAATAAATCCCCTCAGTGTCTAATTAGGGGGACCATGTTTGTCCCCTTCCCTGCCTTCAGGACATTTGCACTGCAGAAGCAGGACAAACCGAACATCTAAATTAAAGAAAAAGAAGATCAAGTCGTTTTTTTCTTCTAATTATAACCCTGGCCCGTCTTTGATCTGAACTTAGGTTTGGGGCCTAAATGGTAGCTGTCATAGCCTTTGAACCTTAGTGCTGGAGGTCACTTCAGTGTTTAGACAGCCACACTTCTTCCCACCACCTATTAGGGCGAGTTCTCCCTGTGAAACAGTTGCCATAACAAAGTGAAGGTATTTGGATTAAATGACATATAAAGTATACACTCACCAGAGAATGTAATTAGTTCACATCTCCTGTGCCGGCCTACACACCATTTTGCTTTAAATCATTATGGCATAGATTCAACAAGATATCAGTAAGACCTTTTGGTCCATACAGACTTCACAGCACTATGTATAGTTGATGATCCATTGTTACACCAAAGGAACTCTATTGGACTGGGATCTGAGAGTTTACAGCACACCTTCAGGAGTCTACGGAGACCATGCCGCAATGGGTCTGCTCTGGTCGAAAAGAAACTATTAGGTCAGTGGTCATAACTTTCCGTTTGAATGTATGGCACCTCCACATCACTGAAGCTTCCTTTTTGGTAGCATTGATGTAAAATCACACAATATGCTGTTCAATATGCTGCATAAAACGGCATTTAATTCAAAGCACATATTTTCATTTAAGCAATAGTTTTACATACCCATTAACAACTCTTCAATTTTAATGCCTTAAAGAGAAGATGTATTCTGGTGAGCAAATCTAATCTGCACTCCTACAGAAGTTTTTCATAGAAATATTTGCATAATAATTGAGTTTACAGTTGATCACTAGCAACTGTTTTAAATGCACACCAGATTAAAACAAACCACAGCATTTTTTCCCACATCAGATCAAAACAAGTTTTCCTGAAAGTGGACGAATTACATCGCTTTCTGTTTCTGAATAAGATACATGCAAATAGGGACAATTTACCATTAAGAAGCAGCTCAGGAAATTTAATTCAATTTCAGATCATTCTATTTAATTGAACAGGTTTCACAACACATCATCTCAAGGCATTTTACTGAGACGATTCAATCAGGTCAGACAGTCTGATTGGTAAACAGTTTCTATCTGAGGGAACAGATTGCATCAAAATGACTTTGCATGGTGTCCTCCTCCAGGATGAGCATGTGGCAACAGTGGTGATTGGCTTGCATTGTGTCGGTGACTCTGCATCAATCCCTTACATCGAGCATGCATGTGGTGAATGTGGAGAGGAAAAACTCTCCACTGAAAAACTCAGCTTATTTGTCAGTTCTTAGGTTGGAAATTCACTGGTATGTTGTGTTTCGAGGAAACTCCTGACACATATGGAATTACGTTTGTGTTTGTCCATTTTCTCCTCCGTTACATTTAGTCTTGTTCTTCCTGTTAGTTTTGGCCAACTTAACCAATGGCCAGTTTGAATAACCATGTGCTTCAGGAGACTTCCCAACATGTTTGGGTTTTTTCAATTTCTCCTCTGCAATTGAGTGAATATTATCAGCCCTGTAACTCAAGCGTTTGGATAGCAGAAAGTTTATGTTCCAGAAAGCGATGAGTCGAAATGGTTGGTCTGTACATGTAGGTATCCGGTAAACCTCAGCATTAAGACTTCCATTGTCTCAATGTGCAGAGGAGAGTCCAGTAAGAGCAACATGATCTTGGAATCTTCTCTAGAGAACCGTTTGGTGAAGACTTCAAGGTATTGGGTTTTGATTTTGATCCAGGTGTCGTCCACGTATCTGAACCAATGAGTTGGTTGTGTTTGCTTAAGTCTCTGCTCTCCACCTCCTCCATATAGATATCAGAAACAATGGGTGAAAAAGGGAAGCCAATGGCGCACCCATGTTTCACTGTATGTGGTTGATAGGTTGGGTGTTACCAACCAATGGAGCCAAAATTGTTGCAAGATGTTTTGCAACAGTGTGTAACTGAATCAATTCTACTGATAATGGGCCTGAGTGGGACCTCCTCCTTGTGTGTTATCAAAAGACCATATATGCATGGTATGGCCTCCCCCAGATGCATCGTATAATAGAGAGAGCAACCGATGGCTTTCTCTCTTGAGATATTCCACTATTTTCATTTTGTAGATGTTTTTTGAGTCCGTTTTCAGGGCCTATTAAGTGTTTCTGGCCATCAGTAGATGCATTGTTTTCTCATGGTTGTGTTGAGCACCACTGTGCATCTACCTTTGTCTGCTGGCCAAATGGTGATGTTATCATGGTCTTTGCCTGGAGAGGTAACCGCCATGCTTTCCTGTTTGGTGATGTGTGCAATTTCACACTAAAGAGTGTTGCTGTAACCTTCAACCTAAATTCTTCGGCTTCTGCCATGTTGTCATTTCTGGAAGTTGCTTAGGAGTTACGGGAAAATTGAGACCCTAGGACAGAATATTTAGTTGTGACGGGGTGAGCTCTCTATTCGAAAGATTTTTTTAAGCAACTGGCTCTGGGTGACTTGGTGTGAATTGTCCAATATTGTTCTCTGCACACTATGGTGGTAACAGAAGTGTCCCTCATTTTATACAGGGGCCTAATGAGGATTTAAGGAGACAGAAGTAGACACACAAAACAAACATAGACGTACTGAGCAATAAATACGTTCTATGTTACAAAAGTAAACAGAAAGCTAGCTACATAGATGGATCTATCTAAGAAAATAAATTAGCCAAGCATAGCACCCATTGCCATGTTGAGGAGTGAAATGGGAACAAACACTAAAAAAATAAACAGGCCAACTCCACCAATTGCAATCGAAGGTGCAGATGGCATCACAGTCAAACACGGATGGTCCAGAGCAAGCCACCATGAACAGAAAAAGCATAAACTATACGAAGTCAGAGGCTGAAAAAAAAAACAACTACTACAGAACTGGAGAACAGAAAGTGATGTAAAAAAAAAAAATAAATAAAAAATAAAAAAAATGTCCCCAGGTCTTCCTGCAGCCTAAGCCCATATCAGCACAACTACAACCTCCACCAGTGGGGAAATCCCAAGCCCAGTATTAAAAGTGACAGGACCAAACCCCTCAGTGGACTCCACAGGAAATCCATAAGAAACTCTGGAAAATATTTAAGACAAAGGTGAAACCAGACATTTATTGAAAAATCAATCTTAAGTGGACTTTCGAGTCCACGTGTACATTAACCATTGCAAATAAAGACTAATTACAGTTTTAAAGGCTTGTATCACAGGGAACCAAAGCTATGGGACTTTATTGCTGTTTATATCATATATTAAGCGCTTCAAAACAAGCATGCACTGTGCTGCAGAAGAGGAAGACACGTGTTTACCTGATTCATCAGAGCAGGGTGGGAAACCAGAACCCTCAGGTCGATATAAATCGGTGTCAGCAACCCGCTCTTCAGCTTGTATTCTCCAAACTTTACCGCGTTCACATCATGAAGCTTCAGAATTAAACCGTCTACAGAAACATTCGCCATTTGGATGCGGATACGGGTCACTTTCAACAAACTTCAACCAGCAAGCCACGCTCCTATTCAGGAAATACCGATCAAACAACTTCCGTGTCATTCTTTCAAAATAAATGGCAAGACGTATTGACGGGTTGGATAGTATGCATTTAGTTTAAAATGTACCAGGCAACATATTTGAAAGAAATTATACAGACATTAAATGGGATTTTCTATTTGTACATCTCAGGTTTCTTATGTTAGCAAGCTGGATATGTGATAACCCCCTAAATTCAAGTGAAATTAAATAGTAAACTGTGTTGGAAGCAACATTTAGTTTGCAAAGCACGTCAAGGTGTTCGTCTTATTCTGAAATTTCTTCCCCTGGTAACCCTGGTAACCAATCCCGGTTTAGATCCACAGTTAGACCTCCATGTTGGTCAGGTAAAGATTGAAGAGGAATCTAACTTCCTATCATGATATATTTGCTCCTTTATACTATATAAATAAATAAATAAATAAATAAATA